AAATGATTACCTCTGGTGTTGACAGGTGGAACTTGCACTCTTAAGGAACAGCCATAACCCTCCGAGTGATCGCATTCATTACTGACTGCCCGAGTCCATTGGGAGCTTTGTTTAGAGGGCTTGATGGGCTCGAACATAAATTAGCTGTAGATACGAGGTGCTTCTGGTGAACTGAAAATGTATATCTGACTTGTGGGAAACATGGTAGGTTTCCTCAGTTATCACTGTAGATGATTATGTATGGACACGACAGTAAGAAGAGTGGGATTTCTTTCCCTGTCGACTTGAATATTATCCCTATATACTGCATGAGAGAGGGAGTTCCCTCATTTCCATCAGAGTAATACACTTGCTTTAATTCTTAAGCATAAGTGATATAAACATATGCTGAATTACCTGTAAAGAATGCATTTAAAGCTATTTTAAATGTGTTTTTATTTGTAAGACATTATTTACTAAGAAATTGGTTATATTATGCTTACTGTTCTAATCCAGTGGTCAAGGTATTAAGAGTTTGCAAGTACTTTAGATTTTCAAAAGCGAACGGGAGAACTGTGTAACTACCCTGCTGTTCCTTCAGTGCAACACAATAAAACTCTGAAATGAAGATGCTTTTCGGTGCCTTGTTTTAAAGATTACAAACAGCCATTTCTCATCCTCACTCAGCCCATCATAATAAAAGACATAATGTGTCATTTTAAAAGTAAGTCATTATATCGTGTCTTTTCTTACCACACTTCTGGATCTAAAGACTGAAGAGTTTTGAATGGACAGCCATCACCGTTACTGTTTAGGAAGAGTCTTACCTGCTGCAGGCACACAGCACCACTGTTCTCTCACTGGTTCTCAAGATACTGGGGTGTGGGAAGTCTTGAATGTCTGACTTTCCATAAGCATTCTTAGAATGAAAGGGAAGGAAGTTGGAAGTACCGCAAGTAGTTTAGAAGTTTCTTCAGCAGTTGATCAAAGACTTTGTAGGGATTCCTTAAATATCAGGGCAGTGTGTAGATGTGTGCTGCTGTTTACTCCAAGGAGTTCTTGTGCTGTTCTGTGCTTTAGTGCAATAACTCTTCCCAGGCCTGGGGAGAGACGCTGCCATGGGGGGTGGAGTGGGGTGGGGGATGGGGGTGTTAGGTGGTAGGGTAGAGATGTGGAAGAAGGGCATGAAGAACCAGTATGGGGAGGGCCAGGCCGTTTACAAAGAAAGCCTCACAGACTAACCAGTCTGCAAGGCACCTGCTGGGGACCCCCTCCTCTCCAGTTTGTGCGGGAATTACTGAGTACTCCTGGACCCTGAGGACTCGTGCTTAGAGGATGGCACAGTCAGTCATTTTGTCTCTAAACTTTCTAATTACGTCACAGCTGCTCCACATTTTCCTTTCTTGTTCACAAGGACTATTGGCCATGAGAGACCTGGCTGAGGTTAAAATGCTGACAGACACTGCTTTATAACATTTAAGAAACTTCCTCTTCTTTCCGATCTTCTTTAGGATTAGTTGAGATTTTATTGGTTTTCTTCCAAAATCAGATACAGTTTCCAGCTGATTCTTCAGAGAGCAGTGAGGTTCACAATGTCACTCATTGACTTTAGCGTCCAGACGTGGTTGTGATCAGAAGGGTCAGTGCTCGGGTCCAGACTCACTTGCCTTTTCAGTGTTTTCCTTTTCAGTCGATTCTCACAAGGAGAAAGCAGAAGACAGATCCCACTGGCCATTTTCTTTGTTCTGATTTGTTCTGAAGGTTAATCTGTTGGGAATGGTGCTGGCCTCGCCTCTGTCATCCTGGGCTCAGCGGAGGCAGTTAGCGTAATTCGGAATCTTCTGCGGTTGATGTCAAATGCTCACGTTGTGCTTTCTTGTGATGCATTTCATCTCTAACCTGCCGAAGCCATTTCCCCGAGTTGCCCCTGTTATATTGCGTCTCGTAGAACCCTTAGACACATCTTCAGCAGCAGCTGTTTGTCGCTGTAGATTGCTCTGAGTTAGAACTTAGCCATGATTGTTGACTAGTGCTGCAGCATGCCAGAAGGCCCCTGGAGGTTGATTTTTAAAGGAAGAGTGATAGGAAATGACCTGATAAGCCGCTTTTAACGTGTATTTGAGTACTAGTAACTGAAGTTTCACTTACGAGACGAACTGTCTGGCCTTTCCTTCAGGTTTCTATGTTGAGTAACAATCTCACCTGGAACCAAAGGACGGGTCATTGGCAAGATGTGCCTCCTCTCAGGCTAGGAGCTGGCACGGAGCTCACCTCTGCCCCCCATATTGTGAAAATATATCTAATGCATAGAAAGGACATAAAGTTGTGTGTGCTTTTTTTTTTTTTTAATTATAGTTTCTAGATATTACTGGAGAATAACTAGTGGTTTCTGTGTATCTCTCTCCCTGCAGGGTAAGCTCTCATTGTAAGTATGACTATAAAACTTGATCCAGCTTGTTCAAATGGTCATTATTAAAAAGTATGTACGTCCAACCATTTGTCACTTAATATCCACAGGTGCACAGCTCAGTAATCACTTGCAAGTCAGAAATTTGCACAAGAAAAACCATTTTAGAGGGGAAGGAAACTTGCTGCGTTGCCCAGCCTTGTTCATGAGTGTTCGTTCACCCTTGCTGGAAGCTACTGATAACGGTAGTTCCGAGCGACTTGAAGCTCTTTTACCCAGAGAGCAGTTCAAGAGTATCTGATATTGGCAGTATAACCTAGGAGATGGTTCTGAACGCATCTTCCAGAGCGATGCCTAGAGAAAAAGATCTTCTGTCGCTGGATTTGTTGACTGGGCTTCTTAGAGCCTTTTACTGAGACTGAAATTCAGAAATCTCCAGCTAGTGTTTGAAAGAAGTGTCTTAACAGCTGCTTGCTCGTTTACTTTGGAAAGTAATATTAGCTGCAAGGCGGTGAGTCTGAGGTAGAGTGAGGGTTTTGCTCTGTGTTCATTTTCTTGATACACACTGTAGAGGACATGAGCATCTGGACATGCACAGCGGTATCTCCCAGATGTCAGTGTTACAATACAGTGCTGTTCTAAATACTTAAATTGGTTTGGTTATGCTTATGCATTCTGGGGAATGGGAGTTTCTTAAATGGATTGATGGCTGAGTAGATCCTAAAACTAAGAAAAACATGAAATCATGAAATGTAGTTAGCCATGTAGTTCATGGTTTGTTAAAACCTAAGCTGGATAGTGTTGTGCCACTGTCCAAAGAAAACTCTCCACGCAGCCCTCCCTTACTCCTTAGAGCTTGCTCATTTTGCTTTTGTATATTTAATAAAAAGCTGCTCAGATACTCCTTGTGTAGTTGGGGGGTAGTGGTTGAGTTCGTGTAATTTGGGTGCTGATTTCAAATGCAGCCAGCTTTGGTATGCACAAGACCAGGACCCTAGATTGTCTGCCTTTATGCCCCCAGTGCTTTTAGATAGATCGTATACTTTGGGCAGAGAAAATACTCTCCCGAGAATGTTGGCATTTGTACTTTTTTGTTTTTCAAAACAGGGTTTCTCTGTGTAACAGCCTTGGCTGTCCCGGAACTCACTCTGTAGACCAGGCTGGCCTCAAACTCACAAAGATCTGCCTGCCTTTGCTTCCTGAGTGCTGGGATTAAAGACTTGTACCACCACTACTTAGCTAGCATTACACGTTTTTAAACTTCACTGCATAAGTATATTTCAAGACCAATACCTATGTTTCCCTGTTGTGAATAATTAAAAGTTTTCCTGTTTGCTTGGTGTTAAAATAGTCTAGTCAAGCATTTTGAATGTAGAAGTTTGACAGACACTTACAATGGGAACCGAGAGGTTCCTCCAGTTTTCCCAGGTTTCCTCCACTAAGTACTCAGGAATAAGCTTTTTATTGGAAAGGAGTGACTGTGGGAGTTGCCAGTGTCGGGCTGGGGAGCTAGTCCTGTTGATAGAGTGCTGCCCTGCGAGCCTGAGGACCTGTGTTTGGTCCTCGATACCCACCGAAGAATCCGGGGTCTACTTGTAATCCTAGTGCTGGGAAGATGGAGGCAGGAAGACCCCCCAGGGCTCACTAACAGTCTAGCCTACTTGGCAAGGTCTAGAAAATAGAGACCCTATCTCAAAAAGCACGGTGGACAGGTCCTGAGGAACCTGTTCTCCATATACATACCCACACAAAGAGATTTGCTAATGTCAGTTTCAGCAACTGTCTAAAACTTTCTGGTGCTATGATTTTAAAACTGGTTGTAATACCAGAATTAGTTGTAATTGCAGCCTGTACTAAAAATAAAGTCCCTGGATTAAACATTTGATACTAGTAGTGTATGATTCTCCCATCTTTCTCAGTATTTTTATAAGAATCTTAAATTCTAGAAGCTGGTTAGTTGTGGTGGTGCATGCCTTTAATCCCAGCACTTGGGAGGCAGAGGCAGGTGGATCTCTGTGAGTTCAAGACCAGCCTGGTCTACATAGTAAGAGCTTGTTTCAAAAAATTAAAAGAAGAAAAATCTTAAGTTGTGTATAGAAGCACTAGGTTGTCCCCATGTTGGTGGGGTGCGCTGGTGCTCTGGGAGGGAGTTGACAGAGTCCCTTATAATTCTATAAGCAGTGAGGTAGAAAAAAAATTTTCAAGGGGGGTGCATAAAAAGCTTTTTAAAAGTAGTAGTGTGTGAGAAATGGCTCAGCGAATAAAAGCACTTGCCACCAATCCTGATGGTTGAGTTTGATCCTGGCACCCATATGAAGGAAGAGAACTGACCCTGCACACTGTCCTCTGACCGCCACATGCACACTGTCATTATTGTGCCCACACACATACATTAAAGTTAAGTATAGGTATGCATACAAACACTTCATTCTTAGTGACAGTCGGATGAGGCCCAAGTGTGGTAAACCGTGATCCCCCAGTGTCTCTCCCTTCCCTGGTGTCCTCTCTAGGTAAGCTAGGACAGCCAGTGCCTTTCTAGAAAGACAACTGTATGCCGACTCTGCTGCCCTCTGCTGTGCTGAAACGGCGAATTCACGACTCAGATTTTTCGGAGTATCCGCACATAACATTTATATTCAGGATGGTAGCACTAGTAGTTTGGTTTCAATACAAATTATGCTGGAGAACTTGGAAACTTCACACGTAGTCATATATCCAAAATTTTCATTATCTTGACACAGATCTTGATAGTGAATCTCTTGATGATAGATATGCAGCTAATTTGTCCCGGAACTCATGAAGATAATTATATTGCTGAAAAAAAGAGGAGAGAGATGTTGAAATACACTGCAGAAAATTGGGACCGGAGTAGACCCCATACTTGCTAAGAACAGGAGGAGGAGGTGCTGGCGAGGCCAGGTGGGAGGGCAGGGGTGAGGTTGAGTAAGGAAGCTGCCCTTGACAAAAGGCAGCATGGAATTCACAAGAGGGTTTTTTTAAGCTTGTAGAATGTTTCCTTTGCTTCTGGGACTAATATTCAAAGACTCTGGCCAGTGTGGAAGGGCCTACTTTTTGATTGTGTTTTGTTCCCTACTGAATATGGAAGAAGGCATTCTTTTTAGCAGTAGTGACATAGTATAACAGGTGTACCATTGCTAGAAGCCCAAGCTACTAGTGCTTTTGATGACAGTCCATTTGGAAAAATTTTCATAAATAAATTTAAAAACCAAACCTCATATACAGATAAGTAAGTGCTTTGGGTGACTTTTTAAAGTTTAAATGTCTTCCCAAAAGACAGCTCTGGCAGCCACCATTCCTGATAGTGAAACCCTGATCGTGCTGGCTTTCCTCGGGAGAGGTGGGGAGGGCCCATTAGCTACAAAATGTCCAGGTGATGAGCCGACACCCACATTAGTGTGAGCTTCATTCTCAGCGACACAGAAGATGCAACACATGTATAATGCATACACATATCAGACCATGGCTTTGTTTGAAAGAGGAGAGTTGAATTTCCTAAATTTGAAGTATTTGATGCTAACAGAATAAAGGGAGTTCTATTTTCAGAACTTGTGTAGAAAAGTAGATCCAGTTAAGGTTTATTTTACGAATGGCTGTATTTAAACCTTGAGAAGCAGGTTGCTTGATCTGATGAGTTAGTATAGTAAATCACGGTACTTGATGCTGAGTCTGGGAAGGCAGACTCAGACCACAGGCAGCCGAAGGGTGAGGATTCCTAAGTACCCATGCTGCTGACAGCCTAAAGCTGAGACACAGTACCACAGGAAGGCAAATGAACTTCAGAGATGTACACAAACAGCGCCATCTGTAATCTGTCACACCTGCGTGTTGCTGCTGCCTTGTTTTGAAGTATTTGGGAGAACGGAAGGCATCTGGTATCCATGGCAACGGGCAATAATATAAGCACTGCTGCGCAGTTTTGATACCATTCATCAACATTTCAGTGGCACAGTAGGATCTCTGGATTGCTTGGGCTGCAAGTCTACCCAAGAAAATGAATGTTTACAGTAGCCATTTCCTGACCGAGTGGGAGCATCAGCCCCAGAGCTGACTGGGACAGAGCTGAGCAGTCATAGATCCCACAGAGAGTGAAACACACACTTTAACATCATTATTTTGTTCAAAATTCAGTGGCTTGTGCAGACACCTGGGCTGCATTTAAATATAAATGTAAAAGAGAAACCCACTTATGTGCATCACGGCGTTGGCATATCAGCTTCAAGGCCCTCTTGCACTCGTTTTTATTACATTGTATTTGAAGAGGCCACTGCAGCAGACGAGAACAGTCCTGCTCTTACCTTGATGGTCTGTATCGCCCCAGACCCCCTGAGATCTCGAAGGCTGTCTATGGCTTGCTGTGGTGATACTGAGTCGGACAAGTATAGGAGGAGGCAAGCAGCTACTGAGAACATAACAGAAAAATAATGGATTATTAAGAAACTGGTTTGGGTTTGTGGAAGAGACTAGCTAGCCAATCAGATGTTTCTTGTCACAGCAAACTGGTCAGTGTGATTGCTGCACGGGACTAAAAGACCCTTTATCCTGCACTCCTGAGAGTCAGCCTGATCTTCGAGTATAACATGGTTCATACTAACTGCTTTGCTGCTACAAACATTGGCTTACTCGTTTCTGTGTGAACATGCGTTCCATGTCTTATGTACAGGGCTAGGAGTAGAGTTTTGAGTCATGGTTACTCTGGGAAACAGAATAATTTTAAGGAGCAGCTGCACCGTCTTACATCCCCAACAGTAGGGCAGAGTTCCTGTTTCTCGGAGGGCTCACCAGTTCTTTCCATTTTTACATGTCACAGCCATAGCTGGCTGACACTGCTGGGCAGCGTTCTCATGTGCTTTTTGGGGAAACATTTACTCAGATCCTTTGCTCACTGGTTGCCATGGTAGTCTGTCTATATAGAGTACTCTATATATTCTAGATGTATTCCCTTACCAAATACATGCCGTGCCGTCGTCCCCCTCCCCTTTCTATGGACAGTCTTTTCATTTGACATTATCCTTTCATCTACAAAGGCTGTTAATTTGGATATTGTTTATCCTGTTTTACAATAAAAATAACTTACTACAGTGAGGCATTTCTATAATTTTTTCGTAGCACACTTTAAAATTAATACACAGGGTCTGGAGAGATGGCTTAGTGGTTAAGAGCACTGGCTTCTCTTCCAGAGGACCCGAGTTCAGTTCCCAGCAACCACATGATTGCTCACAACCATCTATAATGAGACCTGATGCCCTCTTCTGGCATAAAGGCGTACATGCAGATAGAGCACTCTTATACACAAAATAAATCAATTAAAAAATTAATACACAGTAAATAACTATATTTTGTTGCTGTTATTTCATATTTGTTTGGAGTTTGAGCAAGAGTCTCACTGTACACCAGCTTGACCTTGAACTCGTCATATAGCCAAGGATGGCCTTGAACTCCCGATCCTCCTACCTCTGTCTTCGGAGTGCAGTGATTTTTATACTTAGGTCACTCAGATATTATTTAGCATTTTCTGTCAGTATCATTAACACTTTCATGGAAAGAACATTAGAATAAAACAAGACACCAGTGCTAAGACTTGCAAGTGACCCTCCTGAGCCAGCTGAGGACAGCCGGCAAGCCCACCTAGGCATCCCAGGAAAAACCAAGTTGAAGGCTTTACTCCATCCCCGAGTCTTGGTGAACTTACATCGTGCTTTCTTTCCTTTAAATATAAAGTGAGATAAGGTCCCCCAAAAGGAGTTTGCCTACTTTGAAGTTAAACAGTCAATGAAAATAGATTTCTTACCAAGACAAGATCTTCCAAGTCCTCCGTAACAGCTGAAAGGGAAAGAGAGTTTTGAAGTGTGTCCATTTTCACTCTATCCCAAGTTACAGCTCAAGACCTATTCTCCTCTGCCTACTGTTACCTCTCCGACACCCAGCACAGCACCTTGCACACACAGAGTAGCATTGCTGAGTTAACCATCCCAAAGCAGTGTGTGCTCACTCAGGTGGGGAGGTATTCTGAATACCTGTAAGGGCCAAAGAAGGCTGCGGTAGTGACTGCTGAACCCCACGACCTACGTCTGAGTAATGGAGCACTAAACAAACATGAATCAAGGCTTTGCTTTTTCGTTTTGTTTTTCGAGACAGGGGTTTCTCTGTGTAGTTTTGGTGGCTGTCCTGGCTCTCACTCTGTAGACCAGGCTGGCCTCGAACTTAGAGATCTGCCTGGCTTTGCCTCCCAAGTGCTGGGATTAAACCACTGCCCAGCCGGAATCAAGGCTTTTATCTTTTAGGTAAAATCTGAGTGGTTCTGGACCAAGTGCCAACCACACAATGATCCTTCATCTATTTCAAGCACAGAGGTCTCAGATCACAGAGGGTTAGAGAGGGGCTGGAATCCTGAAACTGGCCAAGGTCTTTGGGCTTGCTTTAAACCTTTTACCTGTGAAATGTCTTAATCATAGAACCTATATCAGACTGAGGGTTGCATGAGGCAGTGTTTATAACGGGCTTAGAACACAGACTGGCAGAGAGTAAGAAGCCAGTGAATGGTAGTGGAAATGACCTGGCACTGGGAAGATGCCAACAGTTCTACAAAACTATACTTTCCAGGAAAACAACGGTCAACCATCAAAGCTGGACAACACTGGCTTTCGTCAGTTTCAGAGATTCTAAAAATTATATTGCAGGGAAATAGGGAAAAGCCCAGCCATCAGATACTTTGATCTTATGGGAGCCTGAAGCTTCTCCCAATGCAGGACCACCCACCCACCTATCGACTTCCATCTCCGAAAAATAGAGGTTGCTTTAAAACTTGAGAAAAAGATTTAGGATCTGTTGGAAAAATGGGCCTAAACATCATGTTTTAGTAGTTGCACAGATGCTATTTTGCATATACTTACAAAGAAATTAGACACAGTTGTGTATTCTGAAATTTTGCCTTTGCATTACCCCGAGGTGGGTCGGCTGTTTTATAGGAGATTCCACCACGCCAGCTTTTTACTCGGGTGCTGGGGATCAAACTCAGGCCCTCCCACCTGAGTGGCGAGTACTTTATCAACTGGTCTACCTCTTTAGCTCTTTAAGTCATACTTTAAAAGATTGCTTACTGTCGGGATTTTTTTTTCCTGTGAATTTTGAAAGACAAGTGACTTCATTGCTATGAAAACAACTGATAGGCTGAGGTGATAAATAAGTGAGACGGGACAGTGCAAGAATAATGGCACACGTTTTTGTGGTGGAGGGGGAAGGAAAATGCTTCCTCCATAAACGCTCAGATCCACTCAGTGCAGTAACGGAAGTATGCGAGGACTTCCCTCCCCCAGGGCCTGTGCTGGCACTCTCCATGATTAGCTCTCTAGTCCTGACAACAGGAGGGCGGCCATGGCTGGCCAGTGGGAGGAGTCATTTTGCCTGGCATGTTGCGGGTGTGGTGTCCAGGGAAAGAACATACTGTATCAGGGTTTTCCGGTTGCTCTTAAGGCAGGTGGCCAGCTCCTCCATGATTTCCCAGCAGCTGCCTATGTCAGGAGTCCCTCCATCTGGGATTGGGTGGTGATGGGTGACAATTCCAGACTGTTGGTACAGGTCCAGAAGGTTTGGGACTCTATATTTTGACAGCTCCCCTCTGGTGCAGAAAACAAATACATCTTGGATCCCGTAGCTCTTTAGTTCCTCTGCCAACAGACAAAGGCACACACAGATGCACACATAAAACAGGGCATGTTTAAATACCGTCAAGAGAAAATATGGAGTTACGTTCTTCAACCAAAGTAATTAACACGTGACAATTTGTAAATCTGAAATATCTGATGGAAATACCCGAACCAAAAGCTGATTAGAATTAGACCAGATTGATTTATAAATAAAATGCTTTTGAATGAATTTCAAAACAGGCTGATGGTATCGATATAGCACAAACCTTGTTCTTTTCTTTGCAATAAATACTGCCTTTAATAGTATTTAAACTCTTGAGAAGGAATGATAACACTGTTTTTAGGTTGTTGTTTCCATGAAATCAGCCATGTTCACTCTCATGCTGCCCTTCATTTTGGGGGTAAGCATTATAAATTATCTCCAGCTAGAGCTCCTGTGTTCTTTCCCTGGATCTGCACTATACCACACCAATGTGGATTTCCTTTTATAGACCGGGTCTTGAGAAAATAAGGTTATTAACTGCACTAACCTTCCATGGTTTAGCTCTTTTAATAGGGTGAACCAAGAAATATTCTCTAGGATTTTTTTTTATACTGGAACTTAAAAAAGAAAAAAGATTTCCTTTTTAAACTATGTGTATGTCTCTGTGGAGTCTGTGCACATGCATATAGATGCCTGTGGAGGCCAGAAGAGGGCCCTGGGGTTACAGGTGGGTAAAAGCCCCCCATGTAGGCTGTGGGAACTGAACTCGGTCCCCTGCAAGGGCAGCACCCACTCTTAACTACTGAGCCGTCTCACTAGCTTCTGGACCTTCTTTATGGCAGCATTCATTCTGGATTATTTAGTTCACAATAAATAATAATATAGTATTATCTAAGGGGGCCTGAAATTTGATATCCTCCTGCCTCAGTTCCCCAAGTGCTGGAATCATAGACATGTACCATCAAGGCCCGCTGAGTCTGATCTTGAAAAAACTATTACATTTTTACAATTGTAAAATAATCTTAATATACTTAATAAAGCCTTCAAAAGAGGGGATAATTTTCTATTTGTCTTCCATACACACTGGACAGAGTCTAAAATATGGTGGCTTTCAGATTTTCCCAGAGGAAGTTCTAGGTCTCCTACCAAGAGTTTTGATCTGTTCTATATAATGAATTCTATGTGTAATTTCATTGTTAATTAAAAAAAAAACTAGGATCTTCCTGTTATAAAATCCACTAAACAAATAGGAAACCCCAAAATATTTAAGATTAGCTTTGGACCAATGATTTAAATAGTATTTGCTTATGTCCTCCAAATGGAACATACAAGTTATTTCCTACCATCGTATGTATACCTAAAGCATAACGTGTTTATAGATACCACAAGGGTCAATTCAACTATTAGTCTCTTTTTGTCCTTTTTGTTTTTGAGACAGGGTCTCACTGTGTCTCCCTGGCTGGCCTGGAGCTTGCTATGTAGACTAGGGTGGCCTTGAACACACAGAGATCTGCCTGCCTCTGCTGGGATTAAAGGAGTGCGCCACCACAGCTGACTTGCTTCTCATCTTTTTGATAGGTAAGAAATAAAGTACAGGGCTGGAGAGATGGCTCAGTGGTTAAGAGCACTGGCTGCTCTTCCAGAGGTCCTGAGTTCAATTCCCAACAACCACATGGTGGCTCACAACCATTTGTAATGAGATCTGGCGCCCTCTTCTGGCATGCAGGCAGAACATTGTATATATAATAAATAAATCTTAAAAAAAAAAAAAAAAGAAAGAAAGTACATTAACCAACTACCAGAATATTAACCTACCACAACAAGTAGGAGAATGTAAGTGACCTAAAAAATTCTGTACTGGTCAGAATCAAACTGAGTGTAGATACTTGTGTGATAAGGCTCTTGGTGTTCCAAGCAGGTTATAATATTCCAGCCCATTCAGAGTAATATTGTGCAATTTCACAGCTGTCACCGTCATAAAACGTGCAGGTAGAATGTTGGGATTATGATTAGAGGGTGCAGACTGCAGTAGCATGAGCATCCATGAGCAAAGAAAATGGCTTACACTGCCAGGCCCACCTGCACACTGGCTTCACACATCTGACCGGGAGTGGACAACTTTACTGCTATCCCGGGGCTCCCAGCTCAGGCTTGGTTCATGCTACCACGGTCAAGTCTGCTAGGGACAGTGTGTTCAAAGAGACGGGCACCGCAGTATGCCAGTTTTCTGTTTACATACTTTGCTCCCTTGAACGGACACATTCTAACATCAGACACAGTTTATATGTGTAACCAGAATCGTGAGAAACAAAGTTATGTTCAGATAAATGATGAGGCCTTGGGTCCATCACAAATACCTCTTCACATGCAAGAAGTTCGCAGTTAGAAATGTCATAAAAATTTATTTTATATATTGAGAGGAGAAGAGTTTGACAGAGATTTTCAAACTTAAACAAACTAGTAGTAGGCTTTTCTCATAGTGAACCTACCTGTATCTTTTTGAATATTTCTTCTAACATCTTTAAATTTACAACCTACAGATAAGGTAAGTAAAAAAAAAATTACTTGGGGTTGTATAAGAAAGCATATTTGAGTACATATAAGCTACTGTAGAAAGTCATTTCACATGGCTATTCATGTTTTAATTCCATTTCAAATGTACATACTCATTTCTTAGAATCTTAGAGCTGTAGAAATTCGCAAATTCCACCGACGGAAGTCCCGAGGCAGGAGCTCCTGGCCATGGTCTTAACCTCATTTGTACCTGGGCTTTAAGTCTCACTGAACTAGGTCAGTCAGAAATGTAGCCCTGGGTGTGGAGGGTGTTCCTGAAGGCTTCCAAAGACAAGCTGCCCAGCACGGGTCTACGAGACTCATTGCGGACCACAATGAGCAACCTGCCGGCTCATAAATCTGCCTGATATTAATAGGAAGCTAACTGAGTGTTCTTACCTACCTGGAAGAGCACATAAGCCAAGAAACTGAGAACAATTCACTCGTGACAGAGGTAGCCTGTGGAGAAAAATTTACCAAGCTTAGTTTTTAAAAAAGCTAGATATGGGCCGGGCGGTGGTGGTGCACGCCTTTAATCCCAACACTCGGGAGGCAGAGCCAGGCGGATCTCTGTGAGTTCGAGGCCAGCCTGGGCTACCAAGTGAGTTCCAGGAAAGGCGCAAAGCTACACAGAGAAACCCTGTCTCGAAAAACCAAAAAAAAAAAAGCTAGAAATGGAAATTTAGGCTACTCAACAAGAGTGTCTGCCACAGAGGAAGGGTGTGTTAACATTTTACAGAGGTTGCAAAACACCAGTTATTGGTTAATCAGGTGGGGAGCAAGAAAGGCCTCTAATGATTGAAGGTTTGGAAAGGGGGACTTACATACTTCAATGCCATTTGTGTCTTCAAAGAGCAAGCTCATTTAAGTTTACCGAAAAGGTAATGACTCCTAGATCTCCCACAGGCAGCACCAGTGACCTAGTGGTATGCAACCCAAATACTTGGACCAGGTGTTTTTCAGAGCTCAGAGTTTAGGGTTCTAGAGTGATTGCATAGACTTGACCAACTGAGCATCCCAATCCGAATATCTAAAATTCAAAATGCTTAGAATAAAAAAATCTTTTCAAGTGCCAGTGTGATTCTCAAAAAGTTGTGGATTGGGGGGCCGGGCGGTGGTGGTGCACGCCTTTAATCCCAGCACTCGGGAGGCAGAGCCAGGCGGATCTCTGTGAGTGCAAGGCCAGCCTGATCTACAGAGCGAGATCCAGGACAGGCACCAAAACTACACAGAGAAACCCTGTCTCGAAAAACCAAAAAAAAAAAAAACAAAAAAAACCCACTAGAGTTGGCATAAGAGAATACTTGTTATTTTCAAGTACATGCATTATCTTGCCCAACTATGATGTCAAATCACATATTGTAGCTTACCCCTGAAATGCCAACATACCATGAAATTTGAATTGGAGTCTGTTCATCTTCACTAGGCTCTTCGTCTGAAGAATCAAACTCACTTGCTTGTATTGAAATGGGCTTCAAAAGAGATATTATATTAAATCATTGCAAGGAACATTTGCATATGATTTTCACACAGTCTATCCGTGATTAAACACCCACTGAATTAATATCTGTGATTTTTTTTTGGTCATTGATCTGGACAATCGGAGAGACCAGCAATATCAATAACAAATGATTACTGTTGACCATTTGATTAATCACAGCACTGTATGGTGGGCAGAATTGGACTTGGGCCAAGAGAAAGAATATCTAGTTCCTGGAACTGGTCCTGGGATAATCTCCGACAAGGCACTTGAGTTCACCCTGGTTCAGTTTTTCTCAACCCTGAAGTGCAATTTGCCCATTCCTTTTCAAACATTTCTTGGACCTTCTACTGACATGCTCTGGAGAGCTGAAGACCCTGTGATACACCGTCTACCTTCAGGATAGTTAAAGTGACAGCAGTGTGCACAATTACAGAATGGCCAAAGTGCTAAAACAGCAGAAACCACGTGCTGGAGAGCGGAGGGAATGACTAGCCATGTAGGGAGCAGCAAAGGGTTTCACTGAGACCATCAAGCCAAGCTTTGAAGAAACTGCAGATTTCTAAGTAGACAGGGAAGTTAAAGCAATCAGCGTGAAAATTCAAGAGCTGAGCCAGGTATGATGGTGCAAGCCTTTGATGTCGGGGGAACGCTAAGGCACAAGTTCTAGGACAATGGGATACATGGCCAGGCTGGCTCAAAAGAAAACACAAGAGAGCGGGTGGGCGGAGGATTGTGTATTCAGTAGAGAGGACTCAGAAGAGACAAAGCCAGTGGAAACTTGGCTCACCCCCTTCTAAAAAATAATCCCATACAGCCTAGCAAATGGGTGGACATACACGAACCAGCTTCCCCTCATCTTTATGAATCACTGGATCAGAAGAATCCAGGTGGCCCTTACGTGCTGATCTCAGCAGGTGTAACTCAATTCTGGATGCAGCACTTCTACATGGAAGAAAAACATACCACACCATTCCCACTCTCTAGCTGGAACCATTGGCGATCAGACATTTGAAGAGCAAGTGGATATAAAAAAACGTAAGTTTTATTGAGTGGCCAAACGAGAATGCTGTGGCTGAGTGACTCCCACATCATTCCAGAATGTGACTGATCCATCACTTCCCAGGCAGTGCTGGACAACCCAGGACTCCTGTATGCCACAGAGCGGACCAGAAAGCAGGCAGACCTCAAGAGAGGAGGAAAGAGAGGGCTCGCTCCTTGTATTCAGTTCCTCTATACTCAGAGATCAGATGGCATATTCCTCTTCTCTGGGGACAGTGGAGTCAGAGGCAGGAGTGAAGGACAGCTGACATCTCATGGACACAGGACTCTCAAGAGTAACCAACTAACGGGGCTGCTTGAGCTCTTCTATAAAGGTCTTGGCCAGAGGAGCGCATGACAACTGACTTAGGCTATGGATTGGGGTTTCTTTGGAATGCTCTTTGGTATGAAAACCAACGGAACCCAAATGAAGCCTCTAAGTAGCGTGTTAGCTGTGAGGTAGGAACTATGGGTCAGGTGGGGCTTCAACTCCTGGCTAGGAACCGCCCCCCCCCCAAAAAAAAAACCCAAAACCAAGACTTTAAGCTTGTGTGGCCCATCCACTCCATCCCTTCTAGCCAAGTGTGGATAAATCTTAACAGGCTAGACTTCCCTGCTTTCCCATGCCCAGGGATTCTGACTGCAGGCAACAGGATGCAGTGCCAAGAGGACCCCGAGGGAGGGTGGCGGTCGTGATGTCACCCACACACCGGGCCGTGACAAGCCTTTGCACTTGAGACATCAAGTCACCCACAAACCAGGTTGTGACAGCCTTTGCATCTGAAGTATCAAGCCTACTGGCTTGGCCCGATCTGGCAGGGATGTCGTGAGCCCCCGCAGGCCGTCAGCCAACCGCAGTGCCCCTGCTCCGCCACTCTCCACCTCCCCCGCGTGCAGAGCGGTTACTGTGAGTGTCGCCCCGCTGCTCGCCCAGCCACGCAGCCGAGGCCGGCCAGCGCCTGTCCCTGCGGCGCGGCTCCTTCGGGTCCCGCCGGCCCCACTCACCGGCTTCATCCCGGGCCGCGGCACGCCGTAACCAGTGCGGCCCCCCTAGCAGCATCCGCGTCGCAGCCCGCGCGGAGTCCGTCCCCCGTCAGCCCATTGGTCCATCCACGTGGGAGGCGGTGCGGCGCCTTCTAGCAACCAATCATATCCTCGCTCTGTTTCTTACTCCGTGCCCTGGCTCAGCCTCTAACTGCTCATTGGTTCGGAGGAAGTCTTTGAAAGACGCGCGGGAGGAGGGCCGGGAGAAAGTGGATTGGCTGGAGGGCTCCGCCCCCTCAGCCAGTTGGGGGCGTGGACGTAGCAAGGGGCGGGGCGTGGGTCTGTAGAGGCTGGTGACCTTAGACTCAAAAGATTATAGTTCAAGTTCAAGGGCTGAATCCTATGGGACCAGAAAAAGTCTGTGTTTTAAATGAACTGTGAAAACTATAAGCCAAGGAATCCTCCTTGTACAAGCAGGGCAAATCTATCTTTTGTAATAGTCAGGCTTTCAAATGAGTGCTATGGAAGACAATCTGCTTTGCCCAAAGTCTAGTAACTTAAAAGTAAATTACATCCCCAAACATCCACAATTAGTGTTTATCCAAATATCTCAGCCCCCGGCTCAGCTAGGTTGATGTACAAAATTGTCAACATAGAGACCCACTGGGATTTTCTATCGTTAGGGAACACTTTTAGATTTGTGCTGTCTGTATTGATCACCTATCTCCAAAATCAAAAGTTAAGTTAGAACAACAAAGCAATAAATGCTACTTTACAGCTATTCTCTTTTAATGTTAAGCCTGCTTCCTTAGGTGATGTTTCAGTAGACATAGGAAACTAGGTACCACTCACCACAAATGTACTATTGGTCATAGTACGATATACAAGAGCCTCCATGAGGGTATATAGTTCAAAGAATCATCCAGCATGTAAGTGCCTGTATTCTGATATGTGACTGGATAACAGGCTCTTTATCTAAATTTTAAATAAATTTTCATTCATTTCGCAGTATACCAGAATGGCCTGTGTGAAACTGTGAAATAGGCAAAGTGTGGCTGTTAGTGTCTGCTTCCTCTTAGGTTTTCTCTGATCGCACTCTCTCAGAGGTCAGTCAGGCTGAAACATCTGCCACACTCTGTGAACTCCCATGACACCGAGGGGTGAGCAGGACCAGGAAGTGGGTGGGATGTGGGGCATATGGGATAGTAAGATGAGGACGAGGTGTGTTGATTAACAGGACCCTGTGTGTGGAGGAAGGTGAGGAGCTCAGGGCTGGAAGCGCTGGAAAGGGCGGCGAGGAGCTGACCTAGAGGAGTTGCTAAAGCACCCAGAGCCCACAGAACCACATCCCACATCCAGCCTCACTTGCTTACCCATAAGCCTGGGTTATGGTTTGAATCTGAAATGTCCCTCACAGGGTCCTGTCTTGGATGCTTCATCCCAGCTGGGGGGACTACTATTTTGGGAAGTTCTAGAAACTTGGGGGATGTTGTGTAAGGAATTGTCTCCTTTCATTACGGAATGTGGTGAGTTCAAAGTCCTCATTTGAGGGAGTAGGTCCCCAGAAGTGGGCACTGTGGGCTTATTATTCCTACCTACTTCCAGTGGCCTCCTGCCGAACACGGGTCTATAAGAGCGGCACGTGCTCTCGACCCCAGCATCTCTCCAGCACCCTCAGCTCGTTTCTATGCCAATCTCTTCCTGAGCCGAAGCTTTATAATCATCTGATCGTCTCCTTCGGCTTAGGTAAGACACTAGATGTTTGTTTAGTGATCTGTTACATGGTACAAGTGGGCTGAAAAATTTAACCCACTGTTTCCCGACTGCGGATCAAAGAAGACTGACGGCCTTAAGCTCTCGCCACCGTCAGGATCTCCTGTCATGACAGACCGCTTTCTCAAGCTGTGAACCAAAATAAACTCTTTGTCCTTGAAGTTGATTTTGTTAGTATTTTATTACAGCGATAGGAGAAGTAACTAGTAAAAATGGTCTGTAGCCCAGTTTCTGGTAGAGTTCTTGTTCCCCGAAACCTCATAAGCCAGGCCTCCACTGTCTGCGTTTTTTCTTGGGATTCTAACCTTCCACACGTCTACTAGAATGACTTTTTAAGCTCCAGTCACACCATTCCAGGGATTTTCTAGCCCACAGCTGCAAACTCTTCCACATTCTTCCCACAAACCAGTTCAGAACACTAAAGAAGCACATGGTCAGGTTTATCACAGTAACAGCCCCACCTCTTGGTTCCAGTTTTCTGTTTAGTTTCTCTTCTCATTGTTAGGACCAGATTCCTGACAAGAAGCAAGGAAGAGAGGGAGGGCTTATTCTAGCTTGCGTTTCCTGGGACTCAAGCCACCACAGCAGGTAATGTAGCAGGTAAGGAGGGCGTGGCAGCAAGAGCAGGAGTCCAGCTGATCCCATTTCATCCACAGCCAGGACCAGAGAGTGTCCAGGAAGCAGGAATGGGCACTAAAGCCTTCAGGCCTCCTTCCAGTGACCCATTTCCCCTGGGGAGGCTCCATCTCCTAATTGTTCCATAACCTTCCACAACGGTGCAACCGGCTTAGGACCAAGTGTTCAAATATATGTGCATAAGTAGGGTGGTGGGTGGAGACAAATGGCATTTCCCGTTCAAACTATAACATACCACTTAACCTGAAAGGCATACCAAGTTCAACCATCAGTCAGGACAGAATCCTGAATTTTCAGAAAGTTTGAAATTGAGTTGACATCATTCCCCACTGCTTTGTTCTAATCATGCATCCAGTGAGCAGCCTAGAAAAGATCAGTTCTTTTTTCTGGTAACTTCTGCATTTGATTATCAAACTGCCATCAAAGCTATGTGTACTGAAGAAAAAGATAATAGAGGGAGGCCATCGATCCGTGCAACAAACTAATGTTTACACAAGCTATAAAAGTCACACATTCCCAGAGTTGGTTAGATTCCAGTCTACCAGGGAAGGTGTGGAGGGCAAAGTCACTGGGAGGTGGAGCTTCTGGTAGAAGTCACTTGCTAGGAGACAACTGGTCTCTACCTCAGAAGTGTAGAGGCAGGCAGTGACTCAATTTCAGGTGGTCCCATTTGGAACTGAAGCCCCTTCCCTGGCCGTCGTCTACATAAGTCTAGTCAGTATCTACAACTATTCCATAGCTTATGTCTCCCCTGAGGGCTGTCCCCATCTGAACTGGCTCTCCCAAGTTAAAGTCTTATTCATTAAATCTAAGCCTGTTTACTCTAGAGAGTTCATCATAACTGGTCCTGGAGCCAAAACTCACCAGCAGGGCCACTATCAGATTTTAACTTAAAGTCCAAAGAATTAGAATTTGTGGATTCAAGAGTAAACAGTCACAACCCAAAGGCTTTTCTTTTTCTTTTCTTTTCTTTTTTTTTTTTTTGTTGAGCAAAAATAATGTGTTCCCTTGCCCACCTCTCTCTCCAACACAACTGCCACTCAAACTCTTCTATCTAGACCTTCTGGGGTCACCACTGGTGACATCATTAAATTCACCTTAAAACTGAGACTGAGAGAGAAGCTTCGATTCCTCCTGCCTACAGCCAAATACCAAAAAGCTGGTCATTTACAAAGAATGGAAACGTCTTAGGCTCCCTGTTGGGGGGGGGGGGGGCGCTGTGAAGCATAAGATGAAGGGGTAGACTCTAGCGAGGTCTTCTTTCTGGGTCACATGAAGATTTCACATGGTGAGGGAGCCCAGGCGTGTGAGCAATGGAGGCAGCCGTGCCCATCCTTTACCAGGAGCTCAAAGGCTTTTCTTAGGCAGTTCCAGAGGACCAAGCAACGTGTTCCAACTTCAAGTGACAAACATGGCTTTCCCAAGATCCCTTGAGTGAAAAGTTGGTCCAGACTGACCCTCTTAAAACCAGTTAGAAAGCTGAGGGTCGGGCTGGAGAGATGGCTCAGCGGTTAAGAGCACTGGCTGTTCTTCCAAAGGTCCTGAGTTCAATTCCCAGCAACCACATGGTAGCTCACAACCATCTATAATGAGATCTGATGCCCTCTTTTAGCCTGCAGGCAGAATACTGTATACATAATAAATAAATCTTTAGAAAGCCGAGGGTCTCTCTGAGTGTTAGATGTCTGAATCGGGGAGAATTTATTAGCAAAGCAAAAACTATTCATTAAACTTCTAAAAGTAGGGCTGGAGAGATGGTCGGTCGTTAAGAGCACTGGCTGCTCTTGTAGAGAACCTGAGCTCAGTTCCCAGGACCCTCATCAAGGCAGTTTATAACTGCCTATCACTCCAGTTCTAGGGGATCCAGTGCCCTCTTTCAGGCCTCTGGGAGCACCCATATATGGCATACACTCATGCAGATGCACATACATACATGAAAATTCTTTAAAAAAGAATTCTTTAAAGAATCTAAGCATGTCTCTAGCGACTGTTCATCTTTCCATGCTCTCTCCTTTCCCCTGCAGCTTCCATGGGTAAAAATCACAGTAAATCTCATCCGCTCTGGAGACTGGTTTTGTTTTCCACACTCAAGATTCATACTCAATTCACCAATTGGTGCAAAAAGAGCACAGTGCTCTTTCTCCTTTGTCACTCTCTTTGATTCAGGTGAAGTTACAAACATATAACATTTTACATCAATTGTTAGCATATACTAGATAACATAAGGCTATTCTTACTATTTTTTTTTTCCGAGACAGGGTTTCTCTGTGTAGCTTTGCGCCTTTCCTAGAATTCACTCTGTAGCCCAGGCTGGCCTTGAACTCACAGAGATCCACCTGGCTCTGCCTCCCGAGTGCTGGGATTAAAGGCGTGTGCCACCACCGCCCGACATTCTATGTATCTTTTAAGAAAATTATTTCCCATGTTTAGCAATGACTTCAGCCTTTAAGGGTGAATATTACTGTTTCCAAGCCAGATTCTGACAGGAGTACGAGGGGTGACATGATAGTCACTGTGGCAGGGCACAGTTGGGTTGAAGAAGAAAAAATGGCAGAAAGTTTGAATACAGCCCTCCCACCCCCAGTTTATCTAAATCTTTGGTCTTACACTACAAACAGATGTAACTTGGAGACAAAACCAATATGCAAACTTCACATTTTTAATTTATCCTGAAATCCATCTTTGGATATTTGGGGGTTC